CCTTTTTTTTTTTAACCAGAGCAATTTTAGGTTTGAGTCTATTGCAGGTTTGTAATCCCCCGCCCCGAGTTCGAATCCCTTTATAACCATCTGTTTAGTTTATGATTCCTTTACTGAAATTCATTAACAAATCCTCCACCAAGAATGAGAATAAATAATCAGAAAACCCAGGTTACATTTGATTACAAATTTAGTCCATAAATAACAAATCTGTGTTCACTATGAATGTATTCCAATGAGGATTCACTTGGTTGAATGATGGATATATCATATATCGGGACTATGAATGTCGATTTAAAAATTAATTATCACTAACTCTACACTGGATCATTAACAAGTATACATTGTCGATGACACTAACGGACCATTACTACTCAATCTCTTCGCAACTAGTAAAACAAAATTTACCTTATGAAAAATTTGACTATTATAGTAGACTAATCCACAAATCTAATTAAAATGAAAAAAAAAATGACTAGAATGAAAAAAAAAAAAGTGTAATTGAATTATTTCTTCCATCCTCCTGTTATACAAGAAGAGGAGAGAAGGGGAGGAGGCGGTCAGAATTTTAAGAAATGATTATACTACTATAGCACCCTTCGCTTTTTTTTTTTTTTTTTTTGCTGTTGTTCTTAGCTTAATATACACAAAAAGATACTTGGTGTATAATATTTTGTGCAATTTTTCTAGTGATCTCATAGATGCACATGTAGTCTCCTCTAAACTAAGAATGGCCAATCGCAAATTAAATGACCGTAAATTGGCACAGTTCAAAATTCTGATTAACCTTTTTAGTTTTCAAACTCGTACCTCATTACACTTTCTCTTTTTATCCTTCCAAATCCAAACCACTGTTTCTCACATGAAGTTCTCGTCAAAATAATCCCAAACTGAGTTAAAAAATACTAACAACAATAAAAAATAGTAGGGTATGTAGAAGTAAACTGCTAATTATGAAGGAAAAATGAAATCCACAAGTCTGCTCAACTTAATGATTAAGTTCATCAAATAAATCAACTCTCTTCTGAACATACAACAATACGCCAAAAAGGGCAAAACAGTGCAAAATTCCAACCGCACAAAAGTCATTCATTTGCAATTCAAGCAATGAGACCTAAATTCGGTCAAATATGAAAAGAATATTATACAACCAATTTTGTAAATAATATCTCACTTCCGATTTTGCGTTTATGGGTCGACGTATTCTTCGAAGGGAATGGTCAAAAGATAATGTAGCAGCACTTGTTGTTGTGATCAAATTAGGGCTTAGTCAAGTTTTAGTTTACATTTAAACATTATTCGCATTCTCAAGAAATATACCAAATTTGCTGAGCTTAATTTGGCATGGGAACTTGAGAATATGAAAACGAAATTTGGTGATGATCAGCTGACTTATGTTTAGTGTCACGCATGTCAAATATTGCTGCAAGACATTACACGCTGCATGTTTGTGTTTCCATGCTTGAACGAGTGGTGCGTGCATGAGAGCAAATTTTGTGCATGCTGCTTTGATCATCTCAATAATAGTAATTTGTCGTGATCCATGCATTTTGCGGAGCCAAAAGTGATTTTTTTATTTTTTATTTTCCTTTAGACATTCAGTTTCCGAAATTACTAATTTATCAGGATTATATGTACTCTATGAAGGCCGTTGGAGTAAAACGTTCATTATTGTCATCGTCGTGGAGTAGTATTACCTTATGTTTAAATGGGATTTTGATTTAGAAAAATATAACAATATACGTTTTTTTCCCAAAAAAAAAAAAAAACTTTATGGGGATTGATAAAATGAAATATTTGCTTGCTGCTCTTTTATTCGTTATCATAAATTTTAATTATTTTTATTTTCTTCTTTGGTAAAATATAAAATTCCTTCATATCGTAATTTTTAATGGTGTGCAGAAACTTAAATACCTTAATTACGTGGTAGAATAAAGAAAACTAATCAACTTCTTCACCCCTAAGTATAAATAGGCCGAGGATTTGAATCCGGTCATGAATATGAATTAATCTTAAATCCTTTGGTCAGTTGCACCACCAGTTGAAATGTCTACCATCAGCGAGAGAATTAGTCAATGTTAGAGGAAAAAAAAAACTACTATGAAAGCTCCTGTTTAACCGTCAACTAATTTGGTTACCAATTAACCTTACCAAAGATGTGTGGTAGGTAACATCTGAATTTTGTTCCCCCCTTAAATTATAGGAAAGGAAAAGTAAAAAAGTGAAAGAACGAATGTGATTTAAGTCTGGAATGAGAAACCATTCCAATTTTAATCTTGTTTATCTACCGTTGTTTTGCGTCGTAAACAAGTAGGAGGAGGTCGTTGCTTTGTAAACTAGCTAGTACGAGCAAGATTCTGCACTAGTTTACAAAGTCACGCAGGGTATAATTGATATCTTAATTTGGTCTTTTCCATCATTTAGTTTATGTGATATCTCAAACAAAGATGATAATGTTTAAATTTTATTGGATCTTTATTGTTATTTCTTTCTTGTATTACGTTTTAATCCGCTTTCGTTTTTTTTTTTTAAAGAAAAAAGATACAAAAATATAAAATGTCACCAAGGATTTCGCGTTTCGTCATAGTGATGGGCAAATCAAACCACTTGTCACTACATTAATTTGTTACACTAACCTATTATTTAGAGAATATCATGCCAGCAAAAGAACTTGTTCTTGAATTTTTTGGGCTTCGTCATAGAAACAAAACCAGGAATGGACCTTGTTACAGATAATTACAAAAATGAAAAGAATTAATATATCGCTTTCCTTTTACTAATTAGAGGTTTGAACCAAAGAACTGGCCAATGTATTTGCGGACCATGTCAATCTAACCTTCATTTGCGGCGTTCTGCTGTTCTGTTCCATGACACTCAACTAAATAAGTCTAAAAAGTTTTATTTTTTGAATAAGATAATTTAATCTTGGCCCCATCAAACGGTGAACTTACAACACCGGTCTTTTTGTCTAGGATTAAAAATATTCTCTATATTTCATACAAAAATCTACATGATAAACTAGGAAGTATATTGTTATAGTATAATTCAGAATGTAAATTGTTTTTGACTTTTTGTAAAGACACAAGGAGATAGTCTCTGAATAGTTTATTATGTTCTGTTCTCTTAGGTTACTAGTTTTGTTGGTAGAAGGTGTCTCGAAAAAACAATAAAATTCCTCTATCAAGAAAGCGAGAAAGCAATAACAAAATCCAATCCAAGACAAAATATATCAAAGAAAACCCAAATGATAGGTAGAATAACATAATCAAGGATGAAGTATTACCTCTAATCAATGAAGGGGAAGGATAAGATAGAAGAAAGAAAGAGTGATAGACAAAGAAAGGCGAATGTATAACTCTTTTAAGATCAACATTTATATATATATATATATATATATATATATATTAGAATGAAGGAATATATTCTATATTAATTTAAAGACTCTTCATTTTCTTTCTTTTTTGGTTGGTAGACAGACTCTTCATATAATACTCTTATTCAGTAGATCTTTCACATTCTTCATATGTCAAAACTAATAAATAAATATATAATAATAGACTTTTCATATTCTATTTGTGTGTTAATTAAAATTATTAAATATATATACTCTTCTGACTATAATTTCATCCTTAATGATGATGATGATGACAATTGGATATAATTGGGATTGGGGATCCAAAAAGTCTAAATTTAAATAATTATTAATATTATTATTTCATTTACTATTTAAAAAGAGAGTAATTTTTGCAATTAAAGAAATGTACAAGAAAGGACTACCAAACACAATGCGTTCGGTACTTATTACTCTCTCTGTCCCAAAATTATTGTCCAGTTTTAGATTTCACTTTTAGTACAATTTGAACTAAAAATGAAAATTCAAACTGGACAATAATTATGGGACGAAGGGAGTATATAGTATGTTGAAGAATTTGCGAAGAAGAAATAATAACGGTGCCAGAATTTTCGTTGAAACTTAGGTTACTAGTTTTGTTGTTGTCCAAGGACGAAAAGAGTCCCTTAGTTCCCAATAACGCTTCATTTCATCGAATAATTAGGCTAACAGAGGTGTACGAAAATGCAATTGAGAAAAGAATAAATTTTTTTTTCATCGCAAACGTTAAAATAAACAATCAAATATACTTGCAACAACCACCCCCAACAAATAAAAGGAAAAAAAAAAAAAAACCCGAAGGTACTCAATCGGTTAATTAATCTTGTAGTTGGAACCTGAATCGTTTAGCTGAGCATGCATGACCGTTTGGACAAAGAAGAAAATCATGTGAATACGTTGTCTTTGCCAACCATTTTTAGCGTTCGTCTGTTGATATATTTGTGCGGCTATGCTCTTCACTGATTATATATTATCGTTGTAGTTTAGTGCAAGTAATTTGTAGTTAGCATAGTTTTCCGCGTATAAAACTCAATTCTTTTTGTGTTTTCACTCTAGCCAACTTGGCTAAAAAATCGGAGAAGGAATCATGTTTATCCCATCTTCGATATTCTCTGTCGATTTCAAAATAATTGTCATGTTTATTATACCATTTTAGTATAGTAATGAGATAGTAATTAGTATAATGAAGTGAGTAATACGGTGAATTATCAAGTCATAGCAATGGAGGCAACATATCACAAAAATTATGTGTATACCTTATTGTGACAGATAAAAAAAATAGAAGTAAAATATCACATGATTAGTTTCATTCATTATCCATTTCTACAGTTCCAATTAGTTGATTATACAACCTTTAATTTTCTTTTTATGAAATGGAAATTAATAAAAAAAAAAAAAGGAAAAGAAAGGGCTTGGTAGATTGTTTTGGTCAAGTGAAGACAGATCACGGCCGTTCAATTTTGTTTTGACCTTCCTCTGTGGAGAAAAATAGTAATCCCCCAGCATCTGAGTAAGCCTCCATTCAATGAAAGACCGAGTTTAAGAATAATACAAAACATGGTCTTCAGTTGACTGTTCCAACCTTCCTCGGACAAAACCGACAAATTCAACTGTTTCTGTTTTCGAATCTCTCCTCTCTCTATATATATCCACTCCCCATTCCACTCTTCTTGGTCCAACTCAAACCAAAGAAAAAATTCCTTAAACACCTTACAATAAAAACTTTTTGTGAGTTCTTTCATCCAAAACATCCAAATTCAATATATTCAGAATCTTACTGTTTTTTTTAAAAAAAAAAAGAAAAGAAGAAAGACTCCATTCAATTCATTCATTCATAAAGATTCCATGATGACAACACCAACCGAAGTGATCACTCTAGAGCAAATCAAAGAGCACCTCTTCGGAGAATTCTCGCCGACGGCCTTGTTTTTCGGGCCGGACCTCAACAATTGCTTGACCGGTACAACTACTACTACTACTACTACTACTACTAGTCATCATGATCAAGCACTATCTTTTTCTTCAAACTCAAGCAACAACAACAATTCCTCCGACTCTTCCTTCACCTCCGATGCCTCTAGTTTTGGCTACAACAAAAACTCCTCCTCCCCTTCACTTTCAGTCTGCGACTACTTTAGCTCCGGTGACGAGCAAACCCTTCTGGATCAGTGTCTTGATCATTTTTCCCAGATTGAAAGTGATATTTCCGGAGTTCACCTCGCCGGAAACTATCTGGGCTATGCTTCAGATATAAATTTTTCTCGTACTGATAATGTGAAAACTAACCTTGCCAAGATTGAACCCGTAGATTTCACGGATTATGAAACCAAGCCTCAGATCATCGACCTTACAGCATCGCCGCCGCCGCAGCCGAGAAGCCGGAAACCTAGCTTGAAGGTGGAGTTGCCGCCTCCTCCGGTGAAAAAATTCGAGTGGATTCAGTTTTCCCAGTCCGCGCCGGAGTTCACCTGCGTGATGAATGTTGTTGAGTCAAAGCCGAGTAATTCCCAGATGGTTGATAATGGACGGAATAAGGCGGCGGCGGTTGAACAGGATCACCGGCACTACAGAGGAGTAAGACAGAGGCCGTGGGGGAAGTACGCGGCGGAGATCCGGGATCCCAAGAAGCGGGGCTCCAGAGTTTGGCTTGGCACCTACGAAACCGCCATTGAAGCCGCCAAGGCGTACGACAGAGCCGCGTTTAAAATGCGCGGGACCAAAGCCATCTTGAACTTCCCGCTGGAAGCTGGGAAGCACGCGGCGGAGTTACGCGCCGCCGAGGCCAAGAAGCGACAGCTGGAGGAGGCGGCGGCAACGGTGGCGCCGGAGGTAAAGAAAGTTGATGTTAAAGAACCGGAAAAGAAAAAACGCCGGGAATCTACGTCATCATCATCATCATCGGTAGTAAAAACTGAGCCGAAGCTGACCGAGTCAAATCAATGGCCGTTTACGCCATCAAGTAGTTGGAGTGCAATTTTCGAACAGAATGTGGAGTTGATGGTGATTTGATCATTAGTTGGGTCATCGAAATTTAAAAATGAAAAAAATTAATCGTATATTTTTTGGTCGTAGTTATGTGAATATTATTTTAAGTTTTATGTTTTTTGAACATGAGCCATCTCTCTCAAAAGATAGGGAGATGAAATAATATTTGGCAAATAGGAAGTTAATAAGCTAGGTTTTAACCGCTTCTGTAACTTTTTTGATATGTGATTAATACATATTTTATTCATTCATATAATTTCTTTAAACTGTCACGTGAATAGAGTGATCGAGAGAACACTATGGTATTATGATTATTACAAGATCAGAGATTTAAAATTTCATTGGGAAATAATTAATGAAATGCATTTTAGCGATAAGACGTGCGTCCTATTTCTAATAAATAACGGTTATGAGTCATATTAGGAATAAGTGAAGAATCACTGTTAATCTCTTTTATAAAGAGAAAAAAAAATTCTTTGAGAGATAATATAAGTTTTGAAGGAAAAATAAATAAAAAAACAGGTGAGTTGACTTTGTTTTGTTGGTTCTTTTTCTTTTTATTGCTTTTTCAAGTGATAATATATAGTTCGGTTAAGAGTACTGATACAAACTACAATGTAGACTATTTTGTTTGGATTTGGATTGAAATTAAACGTAGATTTACTAACTGCTTTCTTCTTCTAGTCAGGTTGGATCCATAAAGAATGAACACTATTAAAACGCTCATAATAGTATGCTAAGTTTGAAAAATCTTGGCTCCCGAAATAAAAATCATTTGGGGTGCAACTAGTTGATAATTTGCATGATGTTGTTTCGTTCTTTTCTGTAAAATCTCAGTAAGTTTTGCTTGATTTCTGTTCAAATAGTTTCAGTTATGTGTATAATAGACGTGCCATGCATATGTTGCATGTTTTTTTTTTTTTTTAAGTCAATATATATAGTCTTCTGAGAAAAATGATAAGCTAGCCAGGAATGTTTTCTTTTTCTTCTTTTCTTCGATTTCATAAGTTTTTGGAATCATGATTGATTAATTAATAGTCAAACTACCACGTTAAATAGAAAAGATATTTATCTAATTCACGAATTTCCTTTGGTACAATAATTGGTAGAAAAACTTAACCTACTAGTCTGTCACATTATGTGGGTGGAAAATTTTAATAACATTGTTCAAACGTAGTTTGAGAATTGAGACCATCAGCAAGCGTTGAAAACCCGCAGAGCTATTTGTTGTACAAGTAGCCATATTTTACCAACACCATCAAATATCTCAAAACCATTTCCGGAGTCATTATTTAGTAATGACTTTTAGTTTCTACTAGTCTTAACTTTAATTTTAAGCTTGTGAACTTTTTATGAACCGTTAGGTTTAACGTCAGTGAAAAAAGTTTAACTTATAAGCGTAGTAAAAAGTTAAGCCCTACAATAAAATAAGAATTTTATTTATTTTACAAGAAAACTTTTTTGACTATCAAAATGGAATGAGTGCTAAAATTGACTGAAAGAGGGAGGACAAAAGGTGTACTCCGTCGTGTACAGTCTAGTCAATTTTTTCAAGTCCACAAATTAAAGACGAACTGTAGTTTTTGTTTTTTTTTTTCGTGAAACATTCAAGGGCTGGTAAATGGCGTCTGGAGAAGACTTGGTAAATTAAAGATGGTAGGGATATATGGAAATGGTAGTTATCACAAATTTTATTCTGCTATGATAAGTACGTCGTATTTCAACACAATGTTTTTCAAAGAAAATGAAAAGGCATAGAAGCAAGAAAACTAAAACTTAGAAGATAAGTGAACTACAACGCGGGGGGGTGGGGAGTGTACTCGACTATCACTCGGTAAACCTAGAATTAGTCGAATTAGTGTTCTTTTGTAAGTTTTTAACACACTATAATTTCCAAGTATTTCAATGGTAACATGTTAATAAGGATCGGCAGTTCAGTTGAAACATATCTAAAAAAAAAAAAAAGAGGAAATTTTTTTCATTACGCAGATTATTTGGCGATTTTTGTTGAAGATAAGATCTTGAGTTTTAGAGGTTCTAGGTGAGTTCTTTAAGGATAGACATCATTCATTAACTTGGCATCAATTTTCCAGAGGTGCACTTAATTTGCATTCGTACCTTTGTACTTCATTACATATTTTTATCTATCATCTATAATGGTTGGAAGTTAGAGACCGCCAAGTTTATATTGACTTTGGTGTTCTTTATTGATTCGTGGGGTTATGGGCTTTCATTGCAGTCAGTTGCATGAATTAATCACCATAAAATCTTAGGAAATCCATTGGATTTTAAAAGGAAAACTAGATAGTATAAAGTCTTCCTTTTCCACACTGCTCTATGATGCATCTGGCATATTTCTAGATCACAGGATATATACTATATATATGTTGTACGAACTATTCCCTCCGTCCCAAAATTATTATCTTGTTTGAAATTTTACTTTTAATACAATTGGAACTAAAAATAAAAATCTAAATTGGATAATAATTATGAGATGAAGGAAGTACAAAGTAAAAGGGGCGAATTGATCATCGTCAGTGCAAATATTTTCCACAAAACTTTTCAACAAGAGAATACCACATTTTTTTTTGAGACTATAATACATTCAAGTGTCCTATTGCAGACTATATAGGAACTGACTATATTCTTTTGGAAATTTAATTGCATTTAATTATAAAGTGTTCAATGATGAACTCCTAGTAGAAAAACACAAGGATATGTCATCTATCGCAACTAACTAATTAGCAAAACATTAACGATCCTTCACACCAAGAAATACAACCATCAATCTGGAAAAAAAGAATAAACAAGAAAACCGATGGATCGTATGTATGTGATTCAGTTAATTGTGACATATATAGGATTCATCAAGTAAGTTGATGTTCAAGTTTGACGTAAAAATTGAAGAGACAATAAATTTAACTATTTTAGTGTACCTTACTTAATGCTTCTTCCGTCCTAAAACTATTGTCCAGTTTATATTTTGAGTTTTAGCATAATTGAAATCAAAAATAAAAATTCAAATTGAACAATAATTTCGGGACGGGAATCAACTTATTGGTTTATAATGTGATGACTGAATAAGTAGGCAAGATTAGGTACATTTCAAACCTACAAGCAAACAGAAAGCTATAACAAATCAAATCAACTTCCATTTAGTTCTACAGAGATATTGCAACAAGTCAACTACGAGGAAATCATCATAATATTTTATACCATAGTTTTGACCTAGTACGTTGAACATAGTAACAGAATCATTGAATGCCTTAATTAAATGAGGTTTGAAAGTTTGAGGTTCATCTCAACAGACGAAAACAATGAAAGCAAAATGTGATAATCAATTTTGAACTCCTGGTTTTGATGGACAACTGCATGCAGAACCCCCTTAGTGTACCTTTCCTATTTCAAGAAGTTTCGACCATTTAATACTTTCTTAGTTACTCCATTTTTATACATTTCGGATGGAGACAGTATTTGCATTGGAAAATGATATTTCTTCCGTCTCTTATCATAATTCATTTTGATTTTTTAAAGTTTTATTTATCATATTTTTTAATTAAAAATAAAACATTAAAAATACTTTGTAATAATTGAGAGAACACAATAAATATGAAAATTAATATAACTTTAATATTTTATTTATGATCATGACACAACAAATAAATTTAAGAAAAATCAAACGACCTTATAATAAAGATCGAGAGAGTATAATATACTCACTGATTAAAGTCACAGTAAAATGAGATATTAACTGAGGTTGCACGTGCATAAGTTCATGATCACCCTTCATATATGGATATTTATTAAGGTTGTGATTTTATAATATTATCCTTTTATATTAATCACTATTTTTTTTAATTACATTTGTTGCTTTACCATTTTTTGTAATGTACTTTGTTCATAATCATATTTTGTTATACAGTCTAAACTTTTTGTGATATCGCACTATTTAAGTTTAACAAGCAAAACTTTTTTTTCCACAGGAGAGGCAGAAGAAGATGGAATATATCTAAAGGTCAAGAGCTTGCATGTGACGATGACAAATCAATCAGCAACAAAAATGTGAAAATGTTCACCTTTTGACTTTTTCATTTTTTCCACGGTCTCTCAGTAAATTTACCTTTAATGTTGATGTTGGTGCATTACTTTGGTTTAAGTTAGCCTTTGCATCAATCAAATAATGGTTTTTCTCGCATGATACTCTTTTATGTCTTACGAAAATAATTCACATTATAAATTATAAATTGTATTAAAAATAATATAATTTACAATTTACAATTTGCTGTATGAATTTGTGGGGTATATCTGGTTAATTATGTCGTCTCATAAACATGACAAGTGTCCTAAACTTTTATGTGCCACACTCAATGTTGTAAAGATTTTATTACGTTTACTTGCATTAGATTGACCTCCATCCACTCTGATGTTTGCAGGGGTACTTTTCCCTCTTTGACTTGGCCAAATTTACTAAACTGGGGAGTAGTCTCCTTTGACAATTCATTAAGTTATGTATATGATCCTTTTCGTGGTCTCTAGTCAAAAGATTTCACGGAAACAACCTGATCGATGCAAAATCCTCCAAAGATATTTATTTACTTTGTGATGTAAAATTGTATGAATATTTCCGCATTTTTATTTTTATTTTTGGAAAAAAGGAAATATAGTGATTTTAGAAAATAATTTTAAAATTTTATCTTTATTAGTGAAGTGATGAAAAAAATGAGAGGGTGGACAACAATTTAGATCTTTCTCGTAATAATTTCATTAAGAGGCAAATTTAAACCATGTGAAAGGGAAAGTTCGAAGTGAAATTTTGGAACGATGGTGAGGAATAATAATGGAAAATCTTCCAAAGTAATTGAGGAGTAACACGGTTCACGCTGGGGCGAAGATGTTATATGTCAACTGACTCCACTTAACCCGAAAAATCCCTTTCATGGGCGAAATATCTCCCAATAATCTGAACGGAATATAGATGTTGCCTTAGAATTAATTTGTTGTTTTAGAGCTTCTCTCCTTTAAATTGGTCGGGAAAAAGGAAAAAAGAGAGACGCAATATTGATGTTGGATATATGTGTCGAGCAGTGAAGATTATTATAGTTGAGTTAGAAAATCTAAATTTCTGTTCCCCCGAAATATGTTTTAAAAAAAAAAAAACAAAAAAAACAAAGCTTGAAAAGATTTTGTGTAACAACTAGTCGGAAGACTAACTCACAGTAAACCTGTAGTAATAAAATAAAAATGTAGTTAAATTATTTATAGTTAAATCAAACAAATGTAGAAATTGCCATTTTTTTTTGGGCGTAATCCCTTTCTTAGT